AGCAAATATATATATATATATATATACCAATCCACAATCGGATACTTGAACTCTTCAGTCCCCCTGCGCGCAGCTTCTCACAAAAGGGGCTCAATGTAGATTAATCTGGAAATGCTCAGAGGGGATAAGAAATTTGGAGGAGATTTTAGATGAACAGCAAGAAAGGAATTGAGATGGGAATGTGCACGGGACACGATGCCTTTTTTCACGACCCTTCAGAATGTTTGGTATGTGTAGATATATTCTCTCTCTTCTTGAGAGCTCCTCTCTCTAAAAATTAGAGCCTTTCCTCTTCACTTGAGAGTTCTGGCTCCTCTTTCAGTAGGAGAGTCATATAATAGTTTTAGCCATTGTCCCGATCTTGCCCATCTGTTCACTGTCTTCCTCAACTTTTAGTTGCCCATGTTTTCTAGAGCTGTTTGTTCGGTCCTTGAAGTTTTAAGCTTTCGCTGGTCTTATTTTTAAAAATATTAAAAAAAATTTCTGTTGATAAGCGGTTGTCCTTTTTCTGAACACATCTGGTTCTTATCTACTGTTTTTCTAACTCTTAACTTCCTCTTCTTGTACAGAACTAGAATACTGGAGTCATCTGGGTCTTGTTCTGGAATGCCCTTAAAGTGACTTCGGCCATGGCAGATGAACTTGCTTTCGTGTTGGAAAAATTTGAGCTATCAAACAAGGAATATGAGGGAGTGGAACTGGAAAGTGAAGACGCAGAGGATGGAAGGGAAGATTGCAGGAAGTGTTTAGTTGGGAAAGTTATGGGAGAAAGATCTGCCAACTTTACGGGGATTAAGAACTTTGTGAACCACATGTGGGGCTTTCCCAGGAACATGATTGCAACGGAGGTAGGCTTTAATCTGTATTAATTTTCCTTCTCAGAAGAAAAGGATATTGACAGAGTCCTGGCGGGAAGACCTTATGTTATGGACAACCAACTTCTCAATATAAAGCAGTGGGAAGAAGATATTGACCACAACCCTGATGCCTTTAACCTCTCACATATGTGGATAGAAATTTGGAATATGCCGATTCACTGGCTAACCAAGGAAATTGGAAGGAAAATTGGAAGGGTCTTTAATAGAGTCGACGACGTGATCATCTCGAGGGGAGGTAGCAAGGAGGGAAGACATCCCAAAATCAAGGCTGTGGTAGATGTCACAGTTCCATTACTAAGGGGAACTGCAGCAAAAATGAATGGGGTGTCAAGATGGGTTGAGTTTAGGCATGAAAAATGTTCGGATTTTGGACTATAGATGAGATTATGTAAAATATAATTTGACAAATTTACCATTAAAAAATGATCATGTGCCTTGCACATGATGGATTTCGGCCAAAAAATGATCGAAAACCTAGTTAGGGACTAAATTTGTCCGATGTGAATATGTAAGGGATATAAAATTACACTTTTAAAAGTGAGGGACGAAAAAAGTTATTTTACAAAATGTAAGAGACGTTTTGGACGATTTTCCCTAAATAAAATGAAGAAACTAGTTGTGGATACTAAATTCATATAAATGATGGACGAAATTAGTAAGCTATGATAAATTTAACAATGACCCCTAGGCTTTAAGTCTGTTGTCCACGTACCCATAAACAATTTGAATTACACATTAGACTCCAGTACTTGTCATAATCCATTAAACAGTAGACAACGCAGAGGAGACTAGGATTTTTATGTCGAGGCCAAACAGGCTTCATTTACGTTCACTCAGCGACTAAACCAGAAAACCCCGCCGCCGGCAGTGTGCCACAAGCCAGGGGCATTTTGGACATCTTCAGAATCTTTCAAGCCACCTACATTCAAGCTGTCGGGCTAATTCCGATAAAGACGACGCCAAATTTAAGATCTGACGGAGATTTCACATTAACGATATGGCCAAAGAGAACAACTCCTCCGCTATGGATGTGGACAACCAGAATTCGGAATCCGTTGATCAGATTAATAGCCCTAGGTTCTCTATCAATGGTAATTTACTCTCCCATAAAGCTCTAGACAGCTAATTTTGAGGTGATAATTTAGTTTTTTTTGGTGAATTTACAGTTTTATAGCTCTTGAAATCCGCTCAGATGCAGCATGGATTGCGGTTTGGCGATTACGCTCGTTACCGGTATAACCTACGCTTGTACACTTATGGTATATGTTTATGAGTAATTTGGTACGATGAAGTTCCGGGAAGTAGGTTTAATTTTTGTAAGAAATGCCGTTTGATATTGTTTTTACCAGTATATAAGCGTAAGTGTGCTCTATATAGGTGTATGAGGGAATTTATGACATTGATCATTAGAGGTGGCAGGGTTAAATTTGTGAAAAATGTGGTGTGATAGAGTTGTACTATTGAGGGAATGTGAAATTGACCAGTTTTTACAAATTTTTTAGGAGGTACTGTACTGCTCGGCTCAGGAGATTGTACAAGTCGTTGAAATTCACGCATGACCGTGGTAAATATAGTAAAAGGGCGATTACAGCTTCTATGGTCACTGAAGTGAGGTAATAGATTGCCAAGACCAATGGTTGAATTTGATTGACATTACAGTTGGTAAATATTTTAATTTCGCTTTTGCTATTTGAAGAACAAATATGCTGTTTTGTCTCTCATTAATAATTTCTTAATGGTCGTTAATCTATCCTGATTCTGCGTGGTGGTTGGGGACACTGTAGGTATCTTCATGTGGTTCTTTATACAGGAGAAAGAGCTTGGAGCCATGCTATGGAAAAGAAAACGCTGCCAGATGGTCCAAATGCACGTCAGCGTGGCTATCTGATTGGTAGGCTGCGAAAAGCAGTCAAATGGGCTACTTTGTTTCAAGACTTGTGTTCCATTAAGGGAGATTCTAGGACATCTTTGGAAGTAGAGGTGTGCTGATTAATTCATCATTTTGCACTGCTGCTGTGCCCTGTATACAAATAAAGCTATTTTCGGTCAAAATACAATAAGAATATGCAAATTAAGGTTCTATTGGTAAATATTAGTTATAATCATACAAAAAGAGAAGATAGCCCACAAGTTGGGCCCAATTACATACATGTGTTTATACTATTATTATTAAACAAAATCAAATAGATATATATATATATATATGTGTGTGTGTGTGTGTGTTTAAAAAAATGTATTCACACACATAATTAGTGAGAAATGAAAATTATATAGGTAAATGCTATTTAGTATTAGTATATACTACTAATGCTATTTAGTGACAAATGCTATTTAGTATATACTACTAATGCTATTTAGTGACAAATGCTATTTAGTATATACTACTAATGCTATTTAGTGACAAATGCTATTTAGTATTAGTATATACTACTAATACTTTATTATATTATATAGGTAAATGCTATTAATAATAATTAGTATATGGTATTATCATCATATCATGTACTTATAATACTAATAATATATAATAATGTACAATATATTTATATTATTTTAGTATTTATTAACTGTTATATGACTACAATAATGCATAGTAATGCATTACAATATAAGATAACTATAATAGTTATTATTTTATACATGAGTAACATACTAACATGACTAGAATTAGATAATAATTAATACATATATGTATAATACTAAATATTAAACAATAAACATAATTAGTAATTAGAATTTAGATATTGGTAATTTGATACATCATTCATGTTTGAATTATTGAATATTTGAATGCGTAATCTATAACTTGCAAGTATTAGTGTACTCTAAATTTACATTACATATTCACTAATCTTAAGGTTTTAAGTATAGATAAGACAACTAAGCAGTGTAAGTGAATGTATATGAATTGCAAATCAATGTATTAGTGTATTGACTTTCACAATAACATATGTAAGTAAATAAGTTTAATTTTGATTTGAAATAAATTATAAGTTTGTAACTAACATAACTTATCACTAATCATTGTAATTTGTAAGTTTGTAACTAATATTACTTATTATTAATCATTGTAAATTATAAATTCATAAATTATCACTAATCATTGTACAGTCTAAGGTTTATTCTAGTTTAAATTAATCACTTTTTATGTGTTCCTTAAATCATAGACTAAGGATTGTAGGTATAAGTGATCAAATAAGTTAAAATTCATATTATCTATTTACTAATCTTAAGGCTTTAAGTATAGACAAAATAACTAAGCTGTGTAAGTGAATGCATGTGAGTTGCAAATCAAGTAAATAAGTTTTATTTTGATTTGAAATAAATTATAAGTTTGTAACTAATGTAACTTATCACTAATCATTGATTCATTGTAATTTATAAGTTTGTAACTAATATTACTTATTATTAATCATTGTAAATTATAAATTCATTGTAACTACTAACTAAATTAGTTTAAATTAATCACTTTTTATGTGTTTCTTAAATCATAGACCAAGGATTTTAGGTATAAGTGATCAAATAAATGCCAATTAAACCACAAAATGATTTGAACATAAGTAATGTGTTCAATTATGAATAAATTTGGGGATCAAATCAGTAATAATTTTTAAATCATTGAGGAGCATAATGAATGTATTATAATTTAGGAGCCCCAATTTATAAATTAAAAATTACAAAATCACTTCATTTGGGAAGAGTCGGATTTCATCTTCAGCTGATGACAAGTGAGAAAACAACCATTGCAAATTTGCAATATTGCATGGTGCCGTGACTGCCGTCACCTAGGGCTTTCACAGCACTAACACTCCCAAGTCCCAATTCCCAAATCGAAGCTGCTCTCCGCCTCTCCGGCCTCCGCCAGTCCGCCGCGCTCTACGCCTCCTGTCGGCTGTGTCCTGCCGTGCTGGTTCATCGCTGCCGAGTGTCGAAGACGAAGCACCAAGATCTCACTGGTTCATCGCTGGTTCATCACTGCTCATCTCTGGCTCGCTTAGGTAAGTGCTCCTCTGTTTTTGGCTCTGTGTATCTGGCATTAAAATGGGCCAAGATCGACTAGGAAATTTGTTATCCTGAATTGATAAGGGGACGAAATCTGAGCTTCGAATTGCAAACTCTAACTGTTGTAGTAGTTTAGATTAGGTGTGATATAACATAAGCTTTGTATTTTATACACAAGAAAGCTCTCTCCAGTTGTGCAGCCTTTAAAAGTTAAGGCCTTGGGGAAAAATTCCACCTTTTACCCGTTAGAAAAATTAAAAAGGAAAAAACTTGCTAAAATGAAAATTTTACCTCCTTGTCCGTGGAGATTCTCAATCTCTGGTGCACATCTAGTGAAAGTACGGCTCCAGAAGTTGTACCTAGGATTCTGGATATGAATTTTCTGCAATGTGTAAAAGAAGAAACATCTATGTATAAATAAGCAGAAAGGTCACCTTAATAAGCTCAATAAAAGTAATCAGCTCCTGAATAAGTAATGGAAAGCATTGGAGCAAGTCTAGAACATATCGAAGAGAGCAATTTAGCTTTTATAACTACAAACCAGTAGAAGGCCTACATATGTCTAGCTTCTTTACATATTTTCAGTCTAATATTTGTAGCTTTCTCATGGCTTGCGGGGGTTGGTAGTTGCTGAACTATAAAGATTGGTTTTATATATTCTCTTAATTTGCTTCAGGGTTATTTTGTAACTACTTGAACTCATTAATTTGTAGTAGCTTCTAGTTATTTTACAAATTACAACTACGCAGTATAGATTTTATTACCCTACTGTGGCTTAGGAACTATGATATGAGGAATTAGAATCATCCATTTTTTGCTGCTCTTGTGGGCACCACTAGTTGGTGGGTAATTGCTGAATTTGAAAGTTTCATGTCAAGCAATCCAGCTTGCCTTTGAATCTTCCCAAAAAGCCACCTTTGATCTCATTTTTTGGTCAAATCGAGTCAAAAAGCTTGATAAGACTCGACTCGATAAGGCTTGACTAAAGGTCGAGCCTTATCGAGTCGAGTCTCGAGCCTAAAGGAAATTCTTCGAGTCGAGCTTCGAGTATCCATTTTTTAGACTCGATCGAGCTCGAGTTTCTGTGTATAGTCGAGTCGAGTCGTATAGCGCTCGAGTATAGCGATACTCGAGCTCGACTCGGCTCGATTATATCCTTATGACATTAAACAGTAGACAACGCAGGGGAGACTAGGATTTTTATGTCGAGACCAAGCAGGCTTCATTTACGTTCACTCAGCGACTAAACCAGAAAACCCCGCCGCCGGCAGTGTGCCACGAGCCAGGGGCATTTGGGACATCTTCAGAATCTTTCAAGCCACCTACATTCAAGCCGTCGGGCTAATTCCGATAAAGACGACGCCAAATTTAAGATCTGACGGAGATTTCACATTAACGATATGGCCAAAGAGAACAACTCCTCCGCTATGGATGTGGACAACCAGAATTCGGAATCCGTTGATCAGATTAATAGCCCTAGGTTCTCTATCAATGGTAATTTACTCTCCCATAAAGCTCTAGACAGCTAATTTTGAGGTGATAATTTAGTTTTTTTTTTTGGTGAATTTACAGTTTTGCAGCTCTTGAAATCGGCTCAGATGCAGCATGGATTGCGGTTTGGCGATTACGCTCGTTACCGGTATAACCTACGCTTGTACACTTATGGTATATGTTTATGAGTAATTTGGTATGATGAAGTTCCGGGAAGTAGGTTTAATTTTTGTAAGAAATGCCGTTTGATATTGTTTTTACCATTATATAAGCGTAAGTGTGCTCTATATAGGTGTATGAGGGAATTTATGACATTGATCATTAGAGGTGGCAGGGTTAAATTTGTGAAAAATGTGGTGTGATAGAGTTGTACTATTGAGGGAATGTGAAATTGACCAGTTTTTACAAATTTTTTAGGAGGTACTGTACTGCTCGGCTCAGGAGATTGTACAAGTCGTTGAAATTCACGCATGGCCGTGGTAAATATAGTAAAAGGGCGATTACAGCTTCTATGGTCACTGAAGTGAGGTAATAGATTGCCAAGACCAATGGTTGAATTTGATTGACATTACAGTTGGTAAATATTTTAATTTCGCTTTTGCTATTTGAAGAACAAATATGCTGTTTTGTCTCTCATTAATAATTTCTTAATGGTCGTTAATCTATCCTGATTCTGCGTGGTGGTTGGGGACACTGTAGGTATCTTCATGTGGTTCTTTATACAGGAGAAAGAGCTTGGAGCCATGCTATGGAAAAGAAAACGCTGCCAGATGGTCCAAATGCACGTCAGCGTGGCTATCTGATTGGTAGGCTGCGAAAAGCAGTCAAATGGGCTACTTTGTTTCAAGACTTGTGTTCCATTAAGGGAGATTCTAGGACATCTTTGGAAGTAGAGGTGTGCTGATTAATTCATCATTTTGCACAGCTGCTGTGCCCTGTATACAAATAAAGCTATTTTCGGTCAAAATACAATAAGAATATGCAAATTAAGGTTCTATTGGTAAATATTAGTTATAATCATACAAAAAGAGAAGATAGCCCACAAGTTGGGCCCAATTACATACATGTGTTTATACTATTATTATTAAGCAAAATCAAATAGATATATATATATATATGTGTGTGTGTGTGTGTGTTTAAAAAAATGTATTCACACACATAATTAGTGAGAAATGAAAATTATATAGGTAAATGCTATTTAGTATATACTACTAATGCTATTTAGTGACAAATGCTATTTAGTATATACTACTAATGCTATTTAGTGACAAATGCTATTTAGTATTAGTATATACTACTAATACTTTATTATATTATATAGGTAAATGCTATTAATAATAATTAGTATATGGTATTATCATCATATCATGTACTTATAATACTAATAATATATAATAATGTACAATATATTTATATTATTTTAGTATTTATTAACTGTTATATGACTACAATAATGCATAGTAATACATTACAATATAAGATAACTATAATAGTTATTATTTTATACATGAGTAACATACTAACATGACTAGAATTAGATAATAATTAATACATATATGTATAATACTAAATATTAAACAATAAACATAATTAGTAATTAGAATTTAGATATTGGTAATTTGATACATCATTCATGTTTGAATTATTGAATATTTGAATGCGTAATCTATAACTTGCAAGTATTAGTGTACTCTAAATTTACATTACATATTCACTAATCTTAAGGTTTTAAGTATAGATAAGACAACTAAGCAGTGTAAGTGAATGTATATGAATTGCAAATCAATGTATTAGTGTATTGACTTTCACAATAACATATGTAAGTAAATAAGTTTAATTTTGATTTGAAATAAATTATAAGTTTGTAACTAACATAACTTATCACTAATCATTGTAATTTGTAAGTTTGTAACTAATATTACTTATTATTAATCATTGTAAATTATAAATTCATAAATTATCACTAATCATTGTACAGTCTAAGGTTTATTCTAGTTTAAATTAATCACTTTTTATGTGTTCCTTAAATCATAGACTAAGGATTGTAGGTATAAGTGATCAAATAAGTTAAAATTCATATTATCTATTTACTAATCTTAAGGCTTTAAGTATAGACAAAATAACTAAGCTGTGTAAGTGAATGCATGTGAGTTGCAAATCAAGTAAATAAGTTTTATTTTGATTTGAAATAAATTATAAGTTTGTAACTAATGTAACTTATCACTAATCATTGATTCATTGTAATTTATAAGTTTGTAACTAATATTACTTATTATTAATCATTGTAAATTATAAATTCATTGTAACTACTAACTAAATTAGTTTAAATTAATCACTTTTTATGTGTTTCTTAAATCATAGACCAAGGATTTTAGGTATAAGTGATCAAATAAATGCCAATTAAACCACAAAATGATTTGAACATAAGTAATGTGTTCAATTATGAATAAATTTGGGGATCAAATCAGTAATAATTTTTAAATCATTGAGGAGCATAATGAATGTATTATAATTTAGGAGCCCCAATTTATAAATTAAAAATTACAAAATCACTTCATTTGGGAAGAGTCGGATTTCATCTTCAGCTGATGACAAGTGAGAAAACAACCATTGCAAATTTGCAATATTGCATGGTGCCGTGACTGCCGTCACCTAGGGCTTTCACAGCACTAACACTCCCAAGTCCCAATTCCCAAATCGAAGCTGCTCTCCGCCTCTCCGGCCTCCGCCAGTCCGCCGCGCTCTACGCCTCCTGTCGGCTGTGTCCTGCCGTGCTGGTTCATCGCTGCCGAGTGTCGAAGACGAAGCACCAAGATCTCACTGGTTCATCGCTGGTTCATCACTGCTCATCTCTGGCTCGCTTAGGTAAGTGCTCCTCTGTTTTTGGCTCTGTGTATCTGGCATTAAAATGGGCCAAGATCGACTAGGAAATTTGTTATCCTGAATTGATAAGGGGACGAAATCTGAGCTTCGAATTGCAAACTCTAACTGTTGTAGTAGTTTAGATTAGGTGTGATATAACATAAGCTTTGTATTTTATACACAAGAAAGCTCTCTCCAGTTGTGCAGCCTTTAAAAGTTAAGGCCTTGGGGAAAAATTCCACCTTTTACCCGTTAGAAAAATTAAAAAGGAAAAAACTTGCTAAAATGAAAATTTTACCTCCTTGTCCGTGGAGATTCTCAATCTCTGGTGCACATCTAGTGAAAGTACGGCTCCAGAAGTTGTACCTAGGATTCTGGATATGAATTTTCTGCAATGTGTAAAAGAAGAAACATCTATGTATAAATAAGCAGAAAGGTCACCTTAATAAGCTCAATAAAAGTAATCAGCTCCTGAATAAGTAATGGAAAGCATTGGAGCAAGTCTAGAACATATCGAAGAGAGCAATTTAGCTTTTATAACTACAAACCAGTAGAAGGCCTACATATGTCTAGCTTCTTTACATATTTTCAGTCTAATATTTGTAGCTTTCTCATGGCTTGCGGGGGTTGGTAGTTGCTGAACTATAAAGATTGGTTTTATATATTCTCTTAATTTGCTTCAGGGTTATTTTGTAACTACTTGAACTCATTAATTTGTAGTAGCTTCTAGTTATTTTACAAATTACAACTACGCAGTATAGATTTTATTACCCTACTGTGGCTTAGGAACTATGATATGAGGAATTAGAATCATCCATTTTTTGCTGCTCTTGTGGGCACCACTAGTTGGTGGGTAATTGCTGAATTTGAAAGTTTCATGTCAAGCAATCCAGCTTGCCTTTGAATCTTCCCAAAAAGCCACCTTTGATCTCATTTTTTGGTCAAATCGAGTCAAAAAGCTTGATAAGACTCGACTCGATAAGGCTTGACTAAAGGTCGAGCCTTATCGAGTCGAGTCTCGAGCCTAAAGGAAATTCTTCGAGTCGAGCTTCGAGTATCCATTTTTTAGACTCGATCGAGCTCGAGTTTCTGTGTATATATGAGTCGAGTCGAGAGATACTCGAGTATAGCGATACTCGAGCTCGACTCGGCTCGATTATATCCTTATGACATTAAACAGTAGACAACGCAGAGGAGACTAGGATTTTTATGTCGAGACCAAACAGGCTTCATTTACGTTCACTCAGCGACTAAACCAGAAAACCCCGCCGCCGGCAGTGTGCCACAAGCCAGGGGCATTTTGGACATCTTCAGAATCTTTCAAGCCACCTACATTCAAGCTGTCGGGCTAATTCCGATAAAGACGACGCCAAATTTAAGATCTGACGGAGATTTCACATTAACGATATGGCCAAAGAGAACAACTCCTCCGCTATGGATGTGGACAACCAGAATTCGGAATCCGTTGATCAGATTAATAGCCCTAGGTTCTCTATCAATGGTAATTTACTCTCCCATAAAGCTCTAGACAGCTAATTTTGAGGTGATAATTTAGTTTTTTTTTTTTGGTGAATTTACAGTTTTGCAGCTCTTGAAATCGGCTCAGATGCAGCATGGATTGCGGTTTGGCGATTACGCTCGTTACCGGTATAACCTACGCTTGTACACTTATGGTATATGTTTATGAGTAATTTGGTACGATGAAGTTCCGGGAAGTAGGTTTAATTTTTGTAAGAAATGCCGTTTGATATTGTTTTTACCAGTATATAAGCGTAAGTGTGCTCTATATAGGTTTATGAGGGAATTTATGACATTGATCATTAGAGGTGGCAGGGTTAAATTTGTGAAAAATGTGGTGTGATAGAGTTGTACTATTGAGGGAATGTGAAATTGACCAGTTTTTGCAAATTTTTTAGGAGGTACTGTACTGCTCGGCTCAGGAGATTGTACAAGTCGTTGAAATTCACGCATGGCCGTGGTAAATATAGTAAAAGGGCGATTACAGCTTCTATGGTCACTGAAGTGAGGTAATAGATTGCCAAGACCAATGGTTGAATTTGATTGACATTACAGTTGGTAAATGTTTTAATTTCGCTTTTGCTATTTGAAGAACAAATATGCTGTTTTGTCTCTCATTAATAATTTCTTAATGGTCGTTAATCTATCCTGATTCTGCGTGGTGGTTGGGGACACTGTAGGTATCTTCATGTGGTTCTTTATACAGCAGAAAGAGCTTGGAGCCATGCTATGGAAAAGAAAACGCTGCCAGATGGTCCAAATGCACGTCAGCGTGGCTATCTGATTGGTAGGCTGCGAAAAGCAGTCAAATGGGCTACTTTGTTTCAAGACTTGTGTTCCATTAAGGGAGATTCTAGGACATCTTTGGAAGCAGAGGTGTGCTGATTAATTCATCATTTTGCACTGCTGCTGTGCCCTGTATACAAATAATCTAATTATTTCTAACAGACTCTTTCAGGAATTTTTTGTTTTATTCGGTTCACTGTATTTCCTTTCACTTGTGGGCAAGGATGGCAATAGGGCCCGTGGTTTTTGGAGGAAGGGGGGGGGAAGGCGGGGGATCCCTCCCCCTTCCCCAGCCCCGTGTTCTAAAATCTCCCCCCACTCCTGCCCCGTCCCCCGCTTCCCTTACCCTTGCCATGCCCCACCCCACTCCATAGTGGTTGGCTAATTATAATTTTTATTTGGACATTATTTGTCCACGTATATAACATCAATAACAACCTCATAAATCATTCTTTTCGATATTATTGATATTTTAAAATTTATTTTATTGACATTATGATATTTTTAGTTCTCAAATTATAATATATTTGCATATATTATTGATGTGTGGTTGTAATGTGTATGTTATATATGTATAAAATTAGCTATAGATACTTACATTTTTTCAAAATTTATTTAGTGGTGGAGGTCCTCCCCCATCACCTGCCCCATTTAAAACAGGGGGAGAAAAATCCCCTCCACCCTTGCTTCACTCCCCTCGGGAAGCCGCTCCTGTTGCCATCCCTAGTTGTGGTGTTGCTAGAATCATGAGAGATAACTTGCTTAGATGCTTTTAATAAGTAAACTTCATAGTCTGCTACTAATTTTCTTCCTTTGACCGTTCTTTTCTTGTTACAAGTGGTTTAGGTAGAAGTTTACATTCGATAACTGTAGCCAGCACATATCAAACTAGGTATTTACGAATAATTCAGATTTAGTGCTTGGATTAGTTTAGATGATATGGTGGAGAATCTATCACTTTATGATCTCTAAGCAACTATTTATGTTAAGATAAAGTTAATTTCTATGGATGGTTTGGATTCATCTCCAATCACTGCAATTAAAACCAACGATATAGTTTACAATACAGTCATACTTAGTGGAAGTTGGCTTATGCAATCAATGCCGACAATTCAGTTGTTTCTTACTGTCTTTCCTTTCCTTTTTTAGTCGTTTTCATTAAAAGCATCAGATGAACTATTAACTAGTTCTAGACGTACATGCAAGCTGTAAAAACAATTCTCACTTAGCAATCGATGTGCTCTTCAACTCTTTTCTCAGATGGACATTTTGAAGATTTTGTTGCCATTTTCTGTTTCCATTTGCTTAGTGGTGGAGTTTCAGCCTGTCAATGTTGTTGACTTGGCAATTTCTTCACACTGTTGCTTGTAACTTTTGCATGCAAGTAATATTCTCTGTACTGAGAAACTATCAATTCTTAAACTGCAGGCCTATGCAGCTTATATGAGGGGAAATTTGTTATTTGAACAAGATCAGAATTGGGAAGTTGCACTGAAGAGTTTCAAAAGTGCCAGGTACTAAATGTTTAGTATGGTTGTTTCTCCTTTAAATATCCAAGATGTTGCTTGAAGTGTACAGTTCCCTTGTTGGCTAACTTAGTTACTTTCTTTAGGGCTGTTTATGAGGAACTTGGGAAATATGGAGACCTTGAGAACCAAGTTTTGTGCCGTGAGCGGGTTGAGGAATTAGAACCTAGCATAAGATACTGCTTACACAAAATTGGCGAGTCAAATTTACAAACTTCTGAATTGTTACGCATAGGTGAAATGGAAGGACCTGCTTTGGACCTGTTTAGAGCAAAGTTGGAGGTGAGTCTTAAATAATAGAATTCAGGAGTTAGGTGATTAATGAGGTGTGTGGCTATACTATTGGTAGAATCATATTCCACAACTTTTGTCATGACAACTTGGAAACATGAATTTCTCAGCTTAGTATCTAATTATAACTGCATTTTCTTGGATCAAAAGGCTGTTATGTCTGAGGCTAGGTCCCAGCAGGCTGCATCAATGACAGAATTCCATTGGCTTGGGCACCGATTTCCAATATCAAACGCAAAAACAAGGGTGTCCATACTGAAAGGTTAGTAATGAATCATGACATAATTAAGTCATAGTGGTTTCTGAGCAAAATGGATACTTAAGTTTTTCTTCCTTGTATCTGCTTTTTGCAACTGCATTGCCACTTTTTGGGTTGACTCTAGAAGCTGGAATTGTTTGCTTGACAGCTTTTTTAGTTTAGCTGGAAATTCAAATTTAGACAGCATGCTCTCTGTTGTATTTTTCCAAGAATAGTTTTGGGACAGTTATTTTTATTTGGAAATCACCATTTAAATAACATTTAAAAAGTTTAATGGTTTTAATGTGTAATCAGAATATTAGCATTGCAGAAGTTGCTCATTTAAGGTTTGCTGCTTATATAAGTTGTGCTTCTGAAGTAAGTTCATCAGGTCATACAGAGGAACGTGTTAAAGACTGGCATTTGGCCTTTCTAGGTTGAACTTTGTAATGAATTGTGTAATGCCCTCACTGCATTGGTGTAATTAGATAGACATGTTTCTATCTCTAATGCTACATCATAAACTCATTCACAGAAAATTTTCTGCTATTGACTGATTTCTTTCTGGGTTAAGTACCTTGATTTCAATCAGAACGCCAACATAGAGGATGCTGCCTAGAAATCAAAATAAATTCTGGGAGTCCCTTCCATGTACTTTGTGGCTTGATTGCTCCAAAATAAGTTATTCTTAAGTGAATCTCAATTCTAAATTGGATTCTCGATGTTTCTGAAAGCTTTTCTGCTCCTTTCATTTTGTATTGCCAACATTAAACAGATTGATAAAAACCAACAGGATGTTGATTTCCTATGTAATCTGATATCACCTTATGCATCCGCTTTCTTAGCCATTTTATGTTCATTGAGTTGATTAGTACTTTCTATAGCTTTATCATCCAGTCTGAAGGTTTTTCCTTTCTTATGATGCGAACTTGATCAGCTCAGGAACTGGAGAAGGACATTCATGGCCCAAAAGCAGACTCTCTTCCGGCAGATAAAAGACTTGCCACATTTGACAAAATATTTGCTGCATATAATGAAGCCAGAAGCTGCATTCGCAATGATTTGGTGAGAAGCATGAGATTCCCATTTTTTTTTATTCTGTGTAATCAAGTACTTTGTCATCTTAGTGCACTTTTTGCTATTAGGAACAATGATATGTTTTTTTCCTTCCTTCCGGATTTACTGATTTTCACATTATGCTCTCTTTTAGGCTAGTGCAGGAAATTCTGAAAGCATGAAAGATGATCTTAGTGGCCTTGATAAAGCTATTGGTGCTGTTTTAGGACAGCGAACCATCGAAAGGAACCAGTTATTGGTTAGCATTGCTATAAGCAAACTCAATAAGGTCCGTGATGATAAGAATGAAAAAGTTACCAAGCCTGAAGAGCTTGTCCGACTATATGACCTTTTGTTACAGGTGATTACCCATAATTCATATAGCTAGCTTTTTGCAATCTTTTTGTGCATGTAGCAATAGTAGTAGGCATACTTGTAAGTGTCAAAATTTAGTAACTGCTCTTCCAACTGGCAGAATGCTGCTGATCTTTCTGATTTAGTTAGCTCTGGAAGAGATAGAAAGCCAGAAGAGTTGGCTTTTGCTGAAGAGTGTGAGCTCAAAAGTTTGGTTTTCAGAGCTGAAAGGTTCGGTTTATGTCACTGTATTTTCTTTTTTTTGGCTGTTTGTTTCTTTTGTCTCTTACAGGCTTTCACTTCACTCTTTTCTTGTGAATGTATAAGTTGGCTGTAGGTTTATTTTATTGTCTAAAAGTCTTGTCTTCTCTTAACTTATCCTGTCAAATAAATGTATATTCTTAAGTTTGCTTTTTTTATTCTACTTTTCTATTGTTACCATGAAAATTGGTTCAAGGTGTTAGGATTGAGAATGTTTTGATTGTTCAACATGATGACCTTGCTCTCAATTTGTTGGCAGGTGTTTCTATTTAGCCAAATCCTATAGTTTGGCTGGAAAGAGAACAGAAGCCTATGCTTTGTACTGCAAAGTTCGCTTTCTAGCTGATACAGCCCTTAAAGAGCTTCAAAATTTGAAGACAGCTGATCAGGTGTGCATACTTTCCTCTATGGCTGATTTGGTTAATTTAAACATAGTCATAACCAAAGGGCCATCTTTTATTTTTCTTTTATGAAATTTCAGGTTTATGGCAGCTTGTTCTTCCATGTCTACTCACATGTTGACTGCTTTGTTTGTCTCTTTATTTTTGTCCATTTTCTTTGTATCAGGCTGTGATAAAGGAGTTGCAGACACTGCAAAAAGAAAGTAGATCAAACAGCTGTATAGAGCATGCATTAGCCATCATGGAGGAAGAGCAGGCTCCAGAAAAGCTATCACAAAAGATTTCAACTATATCATTGACTGGAAAGGATAAGAAGGTTTGTGCCCCATTTAACTTTAGGTCCTGGACTTGTTCATCTAGAAGATTAAATGCATCAATCATAGTTGGAGCATGTAAAGTATGATGCTATTATTAATTTTCCCATTATGCTGATGTGGCTTCATTAGATTTCACTTTCTTTTAAGCTGGCCATGTGTTAATGGTTTTTGAATATCTCAAATTATGCATTTTTTTAGCCCTTCAAGTTAATGGTTTTCTTCTAGATATTGATGTTAAAAATTTGCACATTTGTTTACATTGCTTTATACACTTTACGTATATGTTTCTTAGCTACATAATAGGTGAAGGCATTCAGATTTGCTTACATGTTACTTACACTCTAGTCCTCGAGTTTTTTTGGTATATAATTAATTCATGCAACTAAAAGCATGGTTTTATTTTGAGATTTGTGGATAAACTGTTGCATGGACCCTCTGTAGTCATAGTACTTTGCGTGGTCCTAGAGATCAGCTTTATGCATGTTCACCATTCACACTTTGAAAGTCATCTTATAGTGCTGATCCACAAGGATTCTCTGAATAAACTGGCCATAGAATTTGTGGATCAAAAACCATGCATTAATTTCTTCTGCTGGAATATTTCCTAGTACTGAAATTTTCGTGCTTCCAGTAGAATATGATAAACGACACCACTGTGATGCTTTGCCTATATGTGCCATCTGTGATGGAACTTCTTTTAGGTCAAGTCCTTATTTACAGTGCTTAGTTGGTGGAACATACTTTGTTGGACCATGAATACATGTGCATTGTTATCTTTTACTTTTTTCTCAAAGCCGGTCCTCCTTTTGGATTTTCTTTATGTAGCCATGTATTCAACACAGTTTATCCTTCCTTTGTGATTATTTGAAGAACACAGGCTATTTTGCTCCTCATCTTGTGTGCATAATTTTTTGTTTTCCCTTTGTTTACTTCTCTTCCTTTCCAAAGTTGCTTCTGTTTTAGGCACAAGTTGGTAATATTTTAACGCATTTTGAGCTGGGATTTGTCTCTGTTTTTAATGTTTAAAATGGTTGCAAATTAGTCTAGTTTAACTTTTTAAATGCATAGCTGAAGCGCACTTCTTTAAGCACGTCTCAATCACGCTTCTGTAGTATTATGGCTTAACCTTTTACTGGATGTTGATTCTGTTGTTTCAGTTGGAGAAATTTCTTATGGACAACCTGGATGTGTATGAATCAGCAGTGGATGCCAGTGTCAAGTCAATGTCACGTATTGAGCGCTTCCCACCTTCATTCCAGGCAGCTGCTCGGAGTCCAATAGTTCTTGACCTGGCATATAATCTAATAGAATGCCCATCACTGGAGAACAGGACAAAGAAGGACAAGAAAAGCTTTTTAGGTAGGCTTTGGAGATGAGTAGGTTTATTGCGGAGTATTTTTTTGTTTTGCGAGTTTTTATATCCATCCAGTGAGTGATACTCGTGAAAGATTGACCATTCAGCGACGATGAGTTGTGGCAACTTTTGTGGCACTCGGAAAAGATTCAAATCGCCATCAAAATTTTGGCTCTCTAGATTCTGTAAAACAACAGATGGTACTTCGAATTGAATTACAATAATAATTTGCGAATTTTGTAATTTAATTGGTTACGTGGCAAATCAAGGTAAATGACCGAGTGAGATTTGGAGACTTTAATTTGCAAATGTGTCTTGATCTCAAATTGCACGTTTTTTTGGTTTTCTGCATTCTAGAACAGTATTGAAACAAGATTATGCCGCCACCTGAAACCTTGGATAAAAAACACAAATCAAGATTTCAAGAGCAGTTTGGCACACACAGCTTGAAAAAAAAAAAAAATGGAAAGCGTTTTCTCCATCAGGAACAACGAATGCAATGATTATGCAGTCATTCGTTGAGTTCTGAATCTTAACACCAAGTTTTCACTGCAAAATGGCAATCAACTTCGTTTTCAGAAGCCTTCAGTCTATAACAACCTGGCCCTTTCACACTTCACCTCTCCATCCAGCAAATTAATTTTCATGCCAGCTTTCTCCGTTTTGGAGGCAAACAGTTGGGTTCTAAATGTAAAGAACTCTCTGAAATGCCATAATCTCCAACACCAGGGACTTTACAAAAAGGAATCCTGTGGGAAAAACTATGGATCTCAGCTCTTGAAATTTCACAAATCATTTCAAAGCCGTCCACCTGCAGCCGCTGAAAAAAAGTGAAGCAGCCCTTCACTTCACCCAGCCTCGCTACCACAATCTTCTCTCTTTCTGAGAAGTCTGATAGAACTTCAACAATCCAATATTCACAACTTTCTAGATCAGAAAGCTTCCACTCACAGTTCCACCTTTGGTACATAGCCCAAATCTCGCCTTTCGCAGGATAAATCACGTAGCCAGGCATAGTTTTCCCAACCTTGACTAGATGTGATAACTGCGAAATTTTCATACCCATGATTACGTCTCCAACGCTAAATGCTCCACATGCGATAGGTAAACTCTTCTGCCGCCAATTATTATCCCAGTCAGGTTCAGGTTCAGGTTCAGGTTCCAAAAATTTAACAAGTACTTGGGTTCTTGAGAACACGTTGTGTATAACCACATACTGCCGAGGCATTTTATCTCTTCCACAGTAGACAGCCCAAACCTGACCTGTCAAACTAGAAAGATTTGGGCTTTTTCTCTCCGACATTATTGCATCATCATCTGCTTTACCACCTGACTCTTCCATCTTCCACATCTCTGCCTCGTCTGGTTTTCCTCTCATATTATTTGGCAATGCTAACTGGTCAACCTCCAACATCCCACTGACTACTCCATCAATCTCTTCTCCAGTTAACCTATATGCCAGAACCTTGTGGGATAGGGAGTATAACATGCGTGGAAGGACGCGAACAGTGATGGAAATGCCTCCTCCTGTTTCCCTCTGAAAAATGCTCCTGAAACCTGGAACCTTCACCAAATACGTGCAGTCAAATCCAGTATATGTTGAAAAATCTGAGAGAATTTCAACTAATCTATAGTTGCAACTATTTGTAACTTCAGGATTGTAGGACCATTCTTCGAGGTTCCAATCCTCATAAACCGCCCAAACCTCACCTTTCTGTGGATACATGTCAAACTGTTGTGCTGCCACTTTAGTAGTCAGAGAGCATTTGTAGGAGAACTGCAAAGGTGCAATTACCTGTTCTCCCGACTCCAAGTCCAGGCGAAAAGATCCGCATCCAACAGGTAGCCCGGCCTCACACCATCTTCTCTCTGCATTAGTAACTGGAATTGGTTTCAGCCACATCACAGTAACTGTAGACATAGACCTGGCGATAATTTGAGCATATCGGCGATTTTGATGTTCATTTGATTGATAGTGTGTCGCCCATATTTGGCCTATTGCCATATTATCTACTTCTCTGTCATCATCGAAGTTGTAGATATCCTGATAAAGCACTTCATGGGCCATATTTCTGGAAGAGGATGGATGATCCCTTGAAACAGCATGGTTCTGTTCTGATAGAGTGTTCACGTCAAGCATAACTTCTGCCATATCTCCTTCGGAAGTATTACTGGTAGAATTTGACCAAGCTCCTCCATTTCTCATTAGATGCATGCCCGTTGTCAAACAATCCTGACTCCTTGTCCCCAGGTTTTCTAAAGATACATTTTGACAATCACCAGAGGCTAGAGCAGACATTCCTCCCTTCATTTCAGACAATTCAGAGGAAATTGTTGCTTCTAGAGGAGGTGATTCATAATTTTCCCAGGCAGTGCTACGTTGCAAATTGAATTCAGAACGCTTTTGATTGTCAGAAAGCACAAAGAAAGCATCCTCTATGAGTTTAAGAGCCACATCTGTACCTGGGAAGTTATGCTTCAAAGGTTGCAGCATGTTTCTAAGTTTCTGATACTGATGCTTTATGTCAAATGTCTTGGCTGATGGCACAAGTTGAAGGACCCAGTAGTAGTCAATCTCACAACCTGGAAAGTTGATATTGGCAGCTGATAGGATTTCACATACAGTCTGCTTAGGAACAATTTCACCAAGCGGAAAAAGATTACGGGCTCTTTGCAAAGTATCCCTTGCACCAGCATAGTCTTCATTATGAATCATGTTCTCCACTTTCTCCTTTACACGAAGAGCCTCCAATTCTCTGTTATACTCCTCTATTCTGCTCATCATGTTTCATGTTCCCAGAGTCATGAAATTTCTCGAATTGATGCTCCTAGTGTGCCAAGAAGCACAATTGATTATCACTTAGCGATGCAGATTAAGTGAAGCTAATTCAAAAGGAGGCAAGGAATGACGGAACTGAGGAAGTATTCACAGTTTAACACACATAAATGTTCAAAGAGATGAACTCCACAATGACATTAGCAGTGACAAATGCACTGTAGTTAGGCAGCAATTTCTTTGAAAGTTATTTTATGCTTGGAAGGATAAGAGTGGCTTTTCAACCAAACTCACATGTAAAGTCTAACAAATGAGATACATATTGCATGGAACTCAGACAAAAATTTACAGAAATTCGAGATTTGAAAGTCTTTCTATGGTAAAATAAGGACTAAAGTACCTAAATATCACATCCAAATTCAGCAGATCACAATCCCTCACTAGTAAGCCTTTGACAATATGTTACCAGTTAAATTTATGAGCCAGCTTTCTGAAGTTTTGCATTCCCTACGTAACCTCCATAGCCTCTGAGAATGAAATGGAAATCCCATGAGGTTTTAACGACACGAAAAGAAAGATCTAAATAGAAAAGTAATGAATTTATAAAAAATGCAAAGCAACCAATGAATGCCGCCAAAGAACCAAAGGCCAAGGTGATAAAGCCATCCAATTTGACAATTCCCCAGCATGGTAAAATCCATCAAACATCCTGACTAAAGGCCCTCTCATAATAACAATTACTAGTATATAATAATACTCAAATTCCTTTAACTGGGCAAGCATGCATTTTTTTTTCTGCAAAATTTTCCTTTTTTACAATAAATCAACCCCGTTAAAGAACATGGAGAAATAACGTCAGTATTCATCTTCAATCAGTAAAATAAAGCAAGCACCTTTTTATGATCAAGAAACAGCAAGAAGTTCAAATTTTTAAACCGAAGCAGAACGTTAGAACCACCAGAAAATACAAAAACAAGCATTGCCCTCACGTAAATCTTCTGGTTCTTCCAAAATAAAAGTTCGACACAAAAATCCCATTAGCATTACAACTAAAAGCTTGCAGCTTTAAGTTTTTCGTACAGCAAAATGCAAGAATGAGCATTTGCATGCATATATGCGACTGTGTTAAAAAGTAAAGATGAGGAAATGAAATTTATGTCTGAAAAGACTAACCTATCAGAAGAAGCTAAAGGTTACTGGATTGATATTTGAGATGAAAAGAAGATGTGAAAAAGCAGAGATTTTTGTTTTCTGGGGTCGGAAAGAATGAACGTCAATTGGCTTCTTGTACCTTTCTCATGAACCAGTCTACCATTACAGCATTCCCATTACTACACATACCACTTACCCCTGCCAGCTTTTTTTTTTAAAATTTTTTTTTCATGGTACGAAAGCAAAAAATCAATGAAAAACAGAAGAAGGAGATTTGCTTCCCAGAATAATCTAAAAAGTTTTCCATCGTTTATCCAACATCAAATAGTCCATTAGCTTATAAATAGTGCGTTATGAATGGTGCTGTGTACTTATGTACTAGATTGCATCTTTGGAAATTTTATATACGAGAATAGTCATAGACAATTAAAGCAAAGTTTAGTGAAAATAGTTTTGACTACTGGCGTAGTAGATTACCAGTAATTCTCCAATTTGCAGCTTTGGAATTTAAGATTAATATCAGTGCCTTTTGTATAGCAATTAGTGGGTATGTGGGTACTTCTTTTATAGCGCTTCCCATCCTATCCCATGTATGGTACTATGAAATTGTGAATTGTTGACGGATTGGATGATTTGCATTTTGCAAAATTAAAAAAAAAATTTCATGATTGATTTCATTTTCTAGTCTATTTTGATACCACTTGCAAGTTGACAATCATTGAACGAATTGATGGATGGCTGCCATTGAATGCCTTGTCTGACCAGATTAAATTGAAAACGATGGAAATCTCGCAAATACATATTATTGTTGGTATCTAATCCGAATTTAAGGTTAACTTCAATCTTGGACATCAAAGCAAAAGCAAATTCTTTAAAAAGAACAGCATGAATTTCTCCAAATATCATATATTCTTTAAAGAATTGTATTGTGATTCATATCATGCTATGACATGCAAACAACAACTTCACAGGTCGTTTCATAAGATCTAATTCAATTATTGTTGTCATTGATAAAAGGATCTTGCCAAGAGATAAAATTGGAAGCTTCTTATGAATTTTACAGAAAAAAAAAAAAGGGGTTCCCTTCATCCCTTGTCCATGTCCACTGCTGCCTTTGCAAAAGCGCATTCTCTCTTTCTGTCTTTTCATTTTTTTTCTTTTCCCTGTTACGATTTTCAAGAAAAGAGGAAAGAAAAGTGGCTATGCCAAAGTGGGTGGCCATTTAAACTTTGGAGTTGGCAAAGGATAGGGGAGGCATTTGGCGCGCACTAATGTGTCATGTTAGACAGTTAATCATTGCATCTCAAAATTAAATACATCAACCACTGGTACTAACTGTTTAGTCACTGCCCCAGGCACCTCACCTCTAGTGCTATAGCTGCTACAATAATCAAATAGTACTAATATTGGAAATCTGCTACTCTGGACTGGATTGGATTGGATTCATTTAACAAGTAATTAAACCCCACTGTCGAAATTATTAAGGAAAATTCAATTTAAAAAGCACCAAGATAGAAATGAGAATTGAAACATGAGCATCCCCACAACGGTATTTTTCCATTTTTTAGTGACAGCCATGAAATATCGCATAAATTGGTCCCCCTTTCCCACATTGTCTCCTCTATTTTCGCTCTGTTCTGACCTCTATCAACAATTTCCGACTCCCTTTTCATTTTTAGTCTCTCTTCTTTCTGCCCTTTACTTTTCTTGGCCTTCTTTTAACTTGAGGACAAGAATTTTCCAATTCAAGATTGTGTAGCATGATATTTTTAATGGGTTTTTTTTAAAAGAAAATTTTGAGGATTCTTTTTATAAAAGAATATTAATGGTTAGATTTGTCGGTGGGGATAGTGATCATGGTCATATGAAGTTGGGTTGGATTGCTAGTTGATGCTATATTGCAGAGGATCAGATGCAAGAGGAAAAGATGCAGTTCGCAAGGCTTGATGATTCACCGATGTTCCGGCAACAGGTTTTAGTTCAATTCTTTGTCCCCATTTATGTACTTCTGACTTTTTTTTTTTTTTTTTCCGTGAATCAATTCTCACATAATGATAATACCGTGGAAATATTAATTTGCTTTCATTAGGCACGGTGTTAGTTTTTCTTTCTGCTGATCATTGCATTTGTTGGGTCAATGGCAACATTGACTTGTGTTGCAACAGAGACTTTGGTTATTCACCTGAGCAAGATTTATATGTGTTGGATCATAGTCAGATGCATTGGACCCTCAAGGTCCAATGCTCTTTTGAGTGCACCATGTGGCTTGACAAGAGCTCGAAACATCTGTGGAAAATGCTAATTTTAGACTACAAGTAGCACACTTTCAAGAAGTAAAAACAACCTACTAATGAGAAGTATTACGCCAGGAATTAGGAGTCATGTTACTTACTAGCTAATATATTTGTTACAGCTTGTTTCCTTTACTGTCTAGTCTGCTAGTGTTTTACAGACAGAATCTCAATTACTTGTCGGATTTTTCATTTGCCAAACTGAGATGCACAACCTTGACATAAGAGCATCACTTTGCTTGTTCATTCTAAAACTGTACTACTACAACTATATTCTTAAAACTTTACTTGTCAATCAGATCCAATGTTTGGAAGAGAGTGCTGAGAATTTAAGGGAAAGAAGTGTAAAGTTCTTTAAAGGATGCCGGAAGTACACGCAAGTCTGAACCTCCATTTTCTTTCAGTATCCTGCATACATGTTCCTTCTATGATTCCACTTCTTATCATGTATAGAATGGTTGCAATTAAGTGCAGTTAAGTATGATCATTACTCCGCTATAGCTACTGAACATTTGTTTATGTATTAGTTAAATTCTGCACTCTGCATTCATCTAATCAGGTCTTTTTTGATACATAACTTCGTATTCCAAGTTCTTCTATTTTAGTTTTATAGCATACTTTAAACGGTAGTCTTCTGATTTTGCTAGAAAGATAAAATCACAAGAAATAGGAAACTAGGTTCTGTTTCTTCCATGTCTAAATTCACATAATTAGATGAAATTTGTTGACATTGATATACTTTTTGAATCAAGGGCCTTTTGGCATAAGACAGGATAGGAACAAGAGCTATTTATGCTGACTTAAATTTCAAATGTAGCTGTAAAAATGGGGGTGTGGAGAGGGATACAACTGTCTTTCAAGCTTGTTTGGGTGTATTAACGAGGAGAAATACCTCCAAGATGATGTTGTGGATGGGTAATCACAACTGCAATGCACGGATTTTGTGCTTAACTAATTTCCTTTTAGAAAACCAGCTAAGTTTAAAGAGAATCTTGGTCGATGAAATTGAGCTGATTGGAAATGAAATTTCTACCTGATGATGCTCTTTGACTTCTCTTGCCTTCTTCTTCTAATACAGTAATGTTGTTTTGCGTTGTTAAAGAATCCCTTCTCAGATTGTTTGATATGATTGAATTGTTAATTGCTCATTGCAGCAGATATCAGCCTCTGAAATATTGGTAAACTAGATACTGAGAGGATTCACTAATTTCTTTTTGGGCCATGAAACTGTCTATTAATTTCTGTTGCAAATATACTTGGATAACTCTTTATTGTTAAACTTGCTCATCATGAAGTATACACTTGATTTTGTTTGTTCAAATTTTCCAGAGAAGGTCTTGGAGAAGCATACGATAGGGACATTGCTTTTGCAAGTGCTCTTGAAACATTTGGAGGCGGTCACAATGATCCCATTTCTGTTGCATTTGGAGGTACTTTTTGTTTATTTTCTGTATGAGTTGTTTTCCAGCTTGGAAATTTTCAGACTTGTATGAATTGGTTTCCTCTTAATGCTCCAAAACTTGTGATTATCAAAATGTAGCTAGGAGTTCAAAAACACTTGGGCCCCATGTGCATGAAATCTGTCGCTATACCTGCTGAATCTCTGCATGTCATTTTCTGACAGATTATGTTGAGAACTTTATCTAGTGGTATAAAATTGGCAAAAGAAAGTAAAACTTGAAAAAGGCAGCACCCTTCTCAGCAGAACTTGATATACATGTCCTGAATATCAAGTCATGGGATTTCAGTCAAGTAAATCTAGTCATAATTGTTCAAAATGAAGTGAAGATTAACATACTGCTTTCTTCCAAGCAAGCAGGATGTATTTGTTTTGCCAGCGTATTTGTTTGTTCATCTTTCGGTCTCCTTTTTTTTTTTTGGGTCAATCATTCATCTTTTGCAGGTTTTAATGCTGATGGAGTTTAATATTGAATATGTTAGGCCCTGATATGGCTAAGTTTGCAATTGCTCTGAGAGAAATTGGAATGTACAAGGAAGTTCTTCGATCGCAGGTGATAAATCTTCTTTCAATTTTGAAAGAGCTCATTTTGTTCTTTTTGCTCTTTACTAAAAGTAGTTTCATAAGAATCTACTAAAAGTACTTTCAGTTTCCTTGGCTGAAAATTCAATTTAAAAAGCACCAAGATAGAAATGAGAATTGAAACATGAGCATCCCCACAACGGTATTTTTCCATTTTTTAGTGACAGCCATGAAATATCGCATAAATTGGTCCCCCTTTCCCACATTGTCTCCTCTATTTTCCCTCTGTTCTGACCTCTATCAACAATTTCCGACTCCCTTTTCATTTTTAGTCTCTCTTCTTTCTGCCCTTTACTTTTCTTGGCCTTCTTTTAACTTGAGGACAAGAATTTTCCAATTCAAGATTGTGTAGCATGATATTTTTAATGGGTTTTTTTTAAAAGAAAATTTTGAGGATTCTTTTTATAAAAGAATATT